CCCTCCGTGCGCCCGCCGGGCCTCCAGCAGGGTGGCGCCGGGCCCGGGTGGAGCTGTGGCTGAGCGGCCTCCTGGGGCTGAGGAGCCCCACAGGTCACCACCTCCGGGGTGAAGGGCGAGCCAGCCCCGTGTCTGCGGTGGGGGTGCTGGAGAGGGTGTGCCAGGAGGAGCTCTGTGCCCAGCCCCCTTAGCCCTTGCTGTTTGGCTTGGATGCTGCCTAATGCAGATGCCTTGTTTGGGTGCCCGAGACTGTGGGACCCTGGAGGGCAGCACAGAAACCTATCTGCTCCGCTGGGATTGTGCTCTGCGGGTGGGGGCTGAGTTGGAGGGAGGAGAGAGCTGGACCTAAGGGGAATCTGTGGCCCCGAGTCTCCCTGCTGCCGAGCTGGGTGCTGGGGAGAGACCTCTGCTTTGAGTTTGCCCGGCCCAGGTTCTAAGGTTCCATTTCTAACTCAGAGCTCACTCAGAAAGCGGAGCCTCAGTTTCCCCATCATGATGTGGGGATAGAGCAGGCCAAGGTGGGCATGAGATGAGGGGGTGAAGAGAAGCTGCCCCCTATGTCCACCAGGGTCACATTCACTTCAGGGAAGGAGGTGCCTGGGGCTCCTGGAGAGGCAGCAGCAGGTGAATTGGGGTCTTGACTGGTGTGGCACAGGTTGGGGTGGGGCCTTCCCAGGGCGTGGCCTGGGAGCCAGGCCCCCAGGAGAGGGGAGCCTGAAGGCGTCGGGGCTGGGCCCAAAGGAGAGCCTGGTGGAAGCCCCGCTGTGTCTGCTTGCCCAGCTGCTACAGGCAGACAGGACAGAGGTGGTCCGGAGTTCTCCAAGGCCTTTACACTGGACCACTACTTTGAGGAGGCACAGAGGCTGCGTTTCGAGGTCTATGGCAGCCACGGGCCCAGCAGCCTCGGTGGTCAGGAGGATGACTTCCTGGGGGGCATGGAGTGCACCTTGGGGCAGGTGGGCACCCCATCCCCTTGGGAGGAATGAGGGCAGGAGGGACCCTGGAGGGCAGAACAGCACCTGAGCTGGTCCTAAGAGCTGGTGCAATGGCCATGGTGGCGTGGGGAGAGGCACCACAGGGTCCCTCTGCACGAGCATCCTGGCTCTGCCCTTCTCCACGTCTACTTCTCTTTAAAAAATTCCTTTTTAGTCATTTTTTAAAATATGTCATTTTAAACTGGGTAATATGGTTCAAAATTCAGAGAATATAAAAGGCATGCTGGCCAGTTCTCCCTCCTGCCCTATCCCCAGGTTCCGGTACATCTGACCAGAGAGATGTAATCTCCCAGAATGAAATGAGCATGTAATTTTTTTCTATATATAGTTTTTAAACACAAATTGCACGAGCAGCCCTTCATCGTGGGCACGTGGGCCTTCCCAGGCCCTCCCTTCAGCACAGGTGGCCAGTGGGCAGTTCACTTTTAATGCTCGCAAGAGCCATGGGGGGCACTTCTTTTCACTACTGAGGTCTAATTTATATACAATAGGACATGGAGAGGTGTAGACCTGATCAGTGAGGTCGATGAGTTTAGACAGTTGGATACCCCTGGGCACCCCCAGATCACGAGGACACCTTCATCTCCTGCAGTTCCCCCGCTCCGCTGCAGCCTCTTCTGCAGTCTCGGGTCCATGAATCACATGGGATGTCCTCATTTGTGTCCGGGGTCTCACACCACGTGATGTCTGTATGACTCCCCCCTTGCTGCCGGGGGGAGCTGATCTAGGGCACACCCTTCTGTTGCCCATTTCACAGGTGAGAGGACTGAGATTTAGGAAGGACAAGGCCTGAGAAAAAGCAGGGCAGCGTGCCACCCAGGTGCTGGCCCCTCACCTGCCGTCATGAGGACAGAAGACGGCAGCACACACACACCCATGGACACACATGCATGTACAGCCATGCACAAGTCATGCACTGCACACATGACACAGAGAGACACGCATGGACGTGTGTGTGCGTGCATACCTGCACCTGTAGGCACGTGTGTGCGGACACCTCTGTGCAAGCATGCACATGCAACCACATATGCACCTGTGCTTGGTCACGTGCACGTGTGGGGGCAGATCTGTGGACACACATGTTTGGATGCTCACGTAAACTTTAGACAACAGACACGCCCGTTGAGAGCCTCCTGCTCTGCGGCTCCCTGGCCGACTCCCGGGGCTGCCCTGCTGCCAGAGCTTTCCCGCCCCTGGGCCTGCTTCTCGTCTGCACAGAATGTTCCCGAGTGCTCAGAAGCTGTTAGCCAGCAGCCCTGGAGGAGCGGGCGGGGAAGCCTCCTGTCTCCTGCCTGTACTCAGCTCACTTTGCCGTGGTCGCCCCAGCTCTAGCTGGACGGGAGCAGGAGCTGGTGCAGGGTGGGTCGTGCGCTGTCATGTGGTGATAGCTGAGGACTCTGTGTCTTCCTTGGCCAGTGAAGGGTGGAGCCCCCCACGTAGGAAGTCACTGATCCTCAGGCAGCTTTTGAGGGGTGTCCAAACTAGGACACCCAGCCCCTCGAGCACTGAGCACTGCCCCCTGGTGAGCAGATGCCCCTAGCTGCATACAGGACCCCTGTATCACCTTGCTGGCCCTAGTTCAGGGCTCATAGCCTGACGGGATGCAGCCAGGCGGGGCATGAGACCCCAGAGAGGGAGTGGCCCCAGTGCCCACACTGTGGAATCCCCTGCACCAGCAGGAGGGCTGGGCTGCGTCTCCAGTCTGGCTCCTTCCCCCTGCACCGCCACCCTCCTGCCTGCCATGCACTGCCCTTGGAGCCAGGTCTGTAGATGCCCAACATGAGCCCAGTGCTGACACGTGGCAGCATGTGGGCTCATCAATGTGTGACCTGGGAAGTGTCTTTCACCTCCTGCCTGAGCCTGTTTCCTCCTGATACATGAGGGGTGAAGTGAGGGTGTCTGGCAGAGCAGGAGGCAGGAACACAGAGGGACGGAGAGACACCAGGCAGCCCAGGGTCTCTAGAGAGGACCTGCGGGCTGGAGACTGTCAGGCCCTGAGGGCAGGTGGCCCTGCATAGAGAGTTTGGAGGAGCCAGGCCACCAGGATAAGGAGACAGGGTCCCCAGGGGAGCAGAAGTTGACCCCTCCCTGACGTTCCTGACTTCCAGATTGTGGCCCAGAGGAAGATGACCCGTGCACTGTTGCTGAAGTTTGGCAGGAATGCGGGCAAGTCCACCATCACGGTGAGGCCACCTGCCTTCCTACCAGGCCCCTGCCCTTCAGACCTGCTCCTCACCTTTGCCATGGCTCCAAGGGTCCTGCCCCGGGAGATGAGTGGGAGGCCCAGGGCTGCACTGACAACTAGGGAGGTCCTGAAAGGGTTCAGGGTGAGGATGGGCCATGTAGGGGTGGGCAGCTCAGAGCTGTGGCTTCTCCCTGCCCAGGTGATAGCTGAGGACATCTCCACAAACAATGGGTACGTCAAGCTGTCCTTCCGGTCCCAGAAGCTGGACAACAAGGTGAGTGTGAGGGTGCCTACCTGGGGCCGGGGGCAGCAGTGGGATGAGAGAAGCCCCAGCCCAGCTTGGGCCCTGCATCAGGGCTTCCACCTGTAAGCTGATGGCGTGAGACAGACTGACCTTGGGGAGACAAATGAGTGTCCAGTGAGCAGCACTCGGGTCTTGTGAGGAGCAGCCACCATGGTGGTGTTTCTCTTATTGCCATGAGCAATACTGCATCCTTTCTGTGCTTTGGGGAGAGGCCGAGGGGAGCAGGTGGTGCTGGCAAGGGGTGTGCAACTGAGGCAGAGAGTTACAGCGAGGGTGGTGGGGAGCCAGCAGAGCGGGCTGGGCCTGGGCTCAGATGTCCTGCACACCCTACCGTTCCCACAGGACATCTTCAGCAAGTCAGACCCCTTCCTGGAGCTGTACCGGGTCAATGATGACCAGAGCGAGCAGCTGGTGTACAGGATGGAGGTGAGGATCCCTGCCGGCCCCTGGGACTGCAGGCCTGATCTGCAGAGCTGACGTCCCCTGCAGTGCTGTGGGGTCAGGGATGAAAGGATGGCTGATCCCGTCACTTGCCTGTATCCCCCGGACCCCATGACTGTAGGGGTCATCACCCTCAGCACCTGCCACCCCCCTGTAAATGGAGCCAGCAGTGTGGAGCAACAGTGTGAGAATTTAGCAATTGTTTTGTCACATCCTGCAGGTAACGTGCATTTCAGGGACAGCAGTGAGGGAGCATTTCCTGTTTAGATAAATTAATTTCAGTTTTTAGAAAAGAATCTAAGGAAAAGGAGACAGGTGGTCCAGGGACATGGCAGAAGTTATGAAGGTGTTTCCAAAAGAGAGGAGGTCCGGAGATTCAACTCCAGCCTGAGACAGCGCCACCCCACTGCACCCCCGGCCCACAGGTGGTGAAGAGCAACCTGAGCCCGTGTGGGAGCCCTTCAGGGTGTCGCTGAACTCCCTGTGCAGCTGCGAGGAGACGAGGCCTCTGAAGGTGGTGATGGTCCTCCGGGAGGTGGGGCCAGGGTGGGGACGCCAGCTGGGCCCTTGGGGCAGGCGGCTGAGGGCCTGGCTCCACAGTGCCTGGTCTGGGACCACGACTCCCGAGGGAAGCACGACTTCATTGGAAAATTCACCACCACCTTTGCGGAGATGCAGAGGGCCTTTGGAGAGGACCAGGTGAGCTGGGCCCCTCCCGGTCACTGAGGCTCTGGAAACCAGGTCCTGACCCAATTTCGAGGGGGCCACTGGGAGCAGCAGCCAAGGAAGCAGGTGGGCACAGCCCTGTACCCGTCCCTCCAGAGACGATGGATGAAGACTGCCAGGCGGTCAGAGCAGGGACAGTTGGGAAACCCCGGCCGGGGCTCAACTTCCAGGCCTCCCCAGCCCCCTCGTGGTGGGGTGCTGGCACTGGCACTCTGGGTGGGGTCTCTGCCTGTCTCTCTACCCCAGGCCCAGTGGGATTGCGTGAATGCCAAGTACAAGCAGAAGAAGTGCCGTTACAAGAACTCTGGGGTGTTCATCCTGACAGACCTGAAGGTGAGCGCAGCCCCTGCCTGGAGACCCGCCCCACCTGCCCATCTCGAAATCCTCCCGTGTCAGATGGACCCTCAGGGACCTTGTCCATGACACCTGGTGGTCCTCAATATGTGGGGGAGCACATGAATATGGTGGGGGCAAAGGGGAGACAGAGAAGGGAAACAGAGGAGGAGGTGCTGGGCATTCAGGCAGCTTGAGGGCCTCGGGGAGGAGGGGGCCGCCCCTGCCAGCCCTGCTGCCCTGCAGCCCTGGCCTGTTTCCCAGGGGGGTACGGTGTCCTGGGCAGGCCCTGCTGACCCTGCTGCCTGGAAGTTCTCCAGGGTTTACTCTTTCCTGGACTATATCATGGGCGGCTGCCAGATCCACTGCACGGTGAGTCCATGGGGCCCCCTCCATGTAGCTAGCTAGCTGGGCACACTCCAGCCAGAGAGGAATCACCACCAAGGCCCCTGCAGCTCCTGATGGCCCCTCCTCACCCTGAACACAGCTCAGAGTTGGTTTGGCACCCAGCACAGAGGTGAGAAGAGACACGGGGACAATGAAGCCCTTCTCCCAGGCCTGGAAGACGGTCCCCGGGAGCTTAGTTCTTCCTGTACATTTTCCTGGGGATCCTGTCACTGTGCAAGGGAGCCAGGCACCCTCAAGAGGGACATAGCCAGCACTCACCCTCAACAAAAACATATTAACATAGAAAATACACGAGGAAACACGGCAGGGGGCATTTGACTCCCAGGGACAACAGGAGTCACAGCCCCTGGCAGGTGTGGCCTTGGCTGGGATGGAGAGCCCAGCTTCCTTCTGTGCCCTCCGGCCCACTCTCCATTCCAATCACTTCACTGAGCAACCCAGACTTGTCTGAGGGGCGTGACCGAGCAGATGCATGGGGACCACAACACAGGGCTGGCTCCTCTGGGAGGGGGCCAGGAACGGTGGTGGCTGAGATGTGCCTGGTCCTGACCCAGCCCCTTCCCACTGCCTGGCCCATGAGTCCAGCCTAGGAGCTCTGGGTGCAGAAGGCACCGACTGGTGTCCCCACAAGGCTCCTCAAAAGGCCCCGGAGCCACTCTGAGATGCCCCCTTGCTGAGCCTCGGTTTCCCTTATCTGTAAAAGGGGAAGTGCAGAAGCCCATCCCAGACTCGGTGGAAAAGGGGCTCCGGAATCACCATGGGGGCCTCCACAGATGGCCATCGACTTCACGGCCTCCAGCGGTGACCCCCAGAACAACTGCTCCCTGCACTACATCCACCCCTTCCAGCCCCACGAGTACCTGCAGGCCCTGGTGGCCGTGGGTGAGGTCTGCCAAGACTACGACAGGTGCATCCTTCCCATTCTCCCCCCCAGGCTCCGGCTGTGACCTGGGTCATGGAGTGGGCATCACAGACATGTCTACTGATCCAGAGGCACCCGCCCAAGGCCAGGAGTGCATGGGCCACGGTTGGTGACAGCCAGATGGGCTAGCTCCACATTGCAGACCAGGCAGCCCTGCATGGCTGACCCTGCAGGCGGGTGCAGTTTCCAGCGTGAAGTGGAGTCAGAGTCCATGTGTCCACATGGGACTGGCCTTCACCACAGGGTCCCATTCACACAAACACCAGGGGGCGGGGTCTGTGTCCCACTTTACAGAGTAGTAAACTGAGGCCATGGAGGGGCAAGCCTCTTGTCTAGGGGCTGGTTGGGCCAAGGTCCAGTGGGCAGGCAGCCAACCTTCACTGGGGTTGGGCTGCCCCACCAGCAGGTACCCAGACCTGGAGCAGAAGGGGGAGGAGGTGACCTTGGGGGTGGCTCCAAGCCACCTGGTGGCCCTGTGCCCACCTGCCTGCTTCAGGCTCTTCACTGCATTGTGCCTCAGTTTTCCCCTGTGGCTTGGCACAGAACTCTGTGTCGCCCAAAGCACCCTCACCCCACCTCACACCACCCCAGGAATCAGGGACCCTATATGATGGGGCTGCCTCTCTTCCAGTGACAAGAAGTTCTCTGCTTTGGGGTTTGGAGCCCAGATCCCTCCCAAGTTTGAGGTAGGACAACCTGGGGGCCGGGCCTTAGGCTTCTCCCTCTGCGCCCCTCCTAGCAGAGGCCATCCTGGGTCCTGGAACCCCTGGCTGTTGCCTCTCTGCTGGGACTCCCTACTCTGTGATAGGCACAGGGACCCTGGCCTCCCAGCCAGAGGGGCTGACCTTTGACCTCTGGAGACAAGGAGAAGGGGCCCTTAGTTTGGAATCTTCCAGTTTCAGTAACAGTTCAACTGGCTTCGGCAGAAAACCACGAGGGGTGGGTGCTATTGGTAATGCCACTCGGAGGCTCGGGTCCCTCTGGATCCAGGGGCTGGAGCAATCCCAGGACAAGTCTGTCTGTCTGCCCCAGGGGCTCCAAACCCATCTCTCCCAGTAGGTAAGGCTGTGGGTGTCCTGAGAGGGTGGGCCGGCTGACAGGTCCTTTTTGTGTCCACTGAGGTGTCCACTGAGGTGTCCCATGACTTTGCCATCAATTTCAACCCTGAGGACGATGAGTGTGAAGGTAAGAGCCCAAGGGGTCTGGGGAAGGGCTGCAGAGGGCCGGACTCACCCCCTCCCCAACAGGAATCCAGGGCGTGGTGGAGGCCTACCAGAACTGCCTGCCCAGGGTCCAGCTCTACGGCCCCACCCACGTGGCGCCCATCATCTCCAAGGTGGCCGCGTGGCTGCAGCCGAGGAGCGCACCGGGGAGGCCTCTGTAGGTACCTAGGCTGGTGGCACAGTGGGGGGACGGGTGCAGTGGAAGGTGTGGGTGCCATGGGAGGGCAAGGATCAGCTGAGAGGAGCAAAGGCGGTCTTTCTGAACCATCTGAGAGCTAGCTGCTCACCTCCTGACGCCCCTCCCCCAGTCCTCCATATACATCTGCTAACAGCAAGGACACGCTGTACATGACCACAGTTCAGCCGTCAAGGCCAGGGCACTGGAGGCAACCCGCCTGTTATCTTTCCCCTGCTGCATGTCCACATCCACCCACTGTCCCAGGACGACCCCTCTCTAAATCCTGTTCTTAGGTCTCAGGGTCTCTTCAGATCCCTCCTCTCCGGCCTCAGACCGAGATTCAAGTGCCGGCTCCGCCGCCTCTGTCCTCTGTCTGTAAGGGGGTCATCCCAGCATTGCTGGGGGCGGGAGACAGGTGACGTGGGCACAGTGTGTGGGAGGGGCACAGGCTCGGACTCAAGGTGGTTGTCATGTACGTATTATGCTTCAGCAAAAACACTCCAGAAAAAGTTGAAAACCACAGCTAAAGGGTGTCTGCAGTCACCCCCAGGCCATCTGGGGGAGAAAACTGGTTGGTGGGCTTGGGGGTTTGATGGGGGGATGCAGCCACCTTGAAGGGTCCCCACGGGGCCCCCCTCCTTCCCTGTGTCCCCAGCAATACTACATCCTGCTGATCCTGACAGATGGCGTGGTGACCGACATGGCAGACACGCGGGAGGCCATTGTGCGTGCCTCCCACCTGCCCATGTCCATCATCATCGTGGGCGTGGGCAATGCCGACTTCACAGACATGCAGGTCTTAGACGGGGACGACGGCATCCTGCGCTGCCCATGGGGTGAGCCCGCCCTCCGGGACATTGTCCAGTTTGTGCCCTTCCGGGAGCTCAAGAATGTGAGTGCGAGGGACAGGCCAGGGGTCAAGGGCCCAGCCCCAAGGTGGCTCCTGCCCAGTGACTGTGGCAGCATGCTGGGAGAGACAGGTGCCAAGTGGATGGCGCCCAAGCCACCCCCGCCCCCGGTCGTGAGGGGACCTCAACCGCTTTCAATAGCCTGGAAACCTTTCTGTTACCAACATGTCAAGGCTACACCCAGGCCAGCTGCATGTGGCCTGTGAATCCAGGCAGCTTTCCCCAGTCGATTTCAGACCTCTTTGTGCCACAGTAAGAAGCATGTCACATGGGCACACACACAAAATGTCACATGAACGCATGTGTGGCTTCACTGGGCCATGAGGACACCTCACCTTCCCGCCTCAGCCACATTCTCTCTGTGCCAGGCAAGCTGGAGCCCACTGACCCGTGGGGGGGGGGGTCACGTGAGCACATATGCCCTCAGGACAAGTGCCTGGCGCCCATCAGATGTCACTCACAGCGTCAGGAGCATCACAGCCTTACCTTTTAGGATCTATATGTTTAACAGAGGCTCACCTGGTCACCAGGTGAATTCCTGATTGTGGTCCCCTAAGCTCATTCCAGAGGATGAAGCTGGGGTGTGACCAGATGGGGGCAGAGGATCAGGAAGGCTGCCAGCGTAAGCACATTGTCCCCATCCCATAGGCGTCCCCTGCAGCGCTGGCCAGGTGCGTGCTGGCTGAGGTGCCCAAGCAGGTGGTGGAGTATTACAGCCACAAGGAGCTGCCTCCTTGAGGCCTCGGCACCCACACCCAAGACAGTGAACCAGGCTCCACGTTATTAAGGACCCCAGAGAGGGGAGGGTAGCCAGGGGTGCTTTCTGCTCCAGCACCCTTGGGGTCCCTTAAATTCCCCCTGATCTCCCAGAGGCCTCCTGTCTCCCAGCTGCCCAAGCCCACTCCTCATTTCTGGGGCCTCCAAGATTGAAGGAAGAACAAATCCAGGCCCAGGGATACCCAGAAGCAGAAGACGGGGGGGGGGCTGGTGGTAACCCCCATGCCTGATCCTGCCCCAGGAGCAAGCAAGAGGGGCTGGAGGGTTCTGCTTTGCATCTTATCTTCATGGGGGGGCCCAGCAGGCAGCATCCCCATCACTGAGAAAATAGGTGCCCCAGACCCCGCTGTGGTCAGATTGGTCTTCACCCAGCTTGTGCCCCCTTCTCACCCCTTCTTTGGCCCCTTGCTTTTATCGCCCTGCCTCACCTCAGCACCTGTGGCTGGGGGTGTAGGTGCAATAAAGTGTCATCTTTTCCTGGCAGCCATTTGTGCATTTACTGCCCCCACCCTTCCACCCCACCCCTGCAGCAGGGGACTGCCCTAGCACAGGAGGGCTGGCGGGAGAACGGCCTCTTCTGGCCTTTGCCCTGGGACAGACTCGGGCTCACTGGGTCCTTTTTAGACTGAATGAAGGGTCCTCCCAGGCATGCAAGGGTGTCAGGAGGCTGGACCCTGGGGAGGGCCAGAGGGTGCAATGGCTGCCCAACCTCTGAGTGACCCCCACCAGGCTCAGATGGGGAGGGTATCAGGCAGGGCCTCCAGGCTGCATTCAGCTCTATGAGGACCTACTGCACACTGCAGGCCATGCACACCGTCAGGATGGGCTTCACCTGCCAGAGCCTCCCAGTACTGTAGGGGTGGGATTCTGATTGAGATTTTCCCTGAATTATCTTGTCTGGGAGAAAAAAACTGTCCTGACCCTGAGTCTAGGTCCACTACCCATCCATCCACCATCCACCCCTCCATCTATTCATCCATCTGTCCATCATCCATCCAATCATCAATCCATCTATTATCCACTCCTCCATCTCTCCATCCACCCATCATCCACCACCCCACCACCCACACACCCATCTATCCATCCATTTTCTACCCACCCACCCATCCATCCACCACCCACCCACCCATCCACCCCTCCATCCATCCACCATCCACCTCTCCCTCCATTCATCCATTCACCCCTCATCCATCTATCCACCCCTCCATCCATCCATCCATCCACCATCCACCCCTCCATCCATCCATCCACCCACCATCCACCCCTTCATCCATCCATCCACCATCCACCCCTCCACACATCCATCCATCCACCATCCACCCCTCCACACATCCATCCATCCACCATCCACCCCTCCATACATACACCCATGCACCCTTCCATCCACCCCTCCATCCATCCATCCATTCATCCATCCACCCATCCATCCATCCATCCATCCATCCATCCACCATCCACCCCTCCATCCATCCACCCATCTACTCTGGGAGTCTTTTTTTTTTTTTTTTAAATATATCTTTATTGATTTCAGAGAGAGGGAAGGAGAGGGAGAGAGAGAGAGATAGGAACAGCAATGATGAGAGAGTCATTGATCTGCTGCCTAGCCCACAACCCGGGCATGTGCCCTGACTGGGGATCGAACCCTGATCGCCTGGATCCTAGGTCGAAGCTCAACCGCTGGGAGTCTATTTTTAGCTCCTGATTCATCTCCTGTTAAGCAGGGATAATGGGCATCACCATGGTAACCTGGCTTTGCTAAATTTTGGAAGGGCAGATGTTGGTCTCTTTGGCAGTGGAGAGGACAACAGAGAAGCCACCCCACCGTGCACATCTGGGAGACAGCTGGGCAGAGTGGATGGGTGAGGTTGTGGGTCCTGAAGTGGGAGGGCAAGTGTCAGTCTCATCCTGTTCCAGCCACTGAGGTCTTGTGACAGGACTTCAATCTCAGCAGCAGGAAGCCTCGGACAGATCCTGGGGTCCACTCGGGACAGAGCCACGAGGTTGATCAGTTGAAATCTGGGAGGAGGCAGAGGGCACAGAGGGGTCAGCTGAGAAGAGTGGGAGGGTTCACCCACAGCACGAGGCAGTGGTGGCCCAGGGTGTGGAGTTGGGTGTGGAGGGAGGTAACTTCCCAGAGCTATTGCCTTAGTTGGATGTAGCCACGCCCAGGACCTGTGAAGCAGGCAGGGAGCAGGGGTTGAAGCCCCAGAGAACAGCCAGGGGGCAGCCTACAGAGGATGCCACTCTCCCCCTCCCCGCCAGGGCCAGAGCAGGGAAGGACAGGGGAGGACAATAGGGGCAGTGGCCCTGGGGCCTGGCCATGGGCAGGTGGGGCTAGGCATGTGCAGGTGTGTGAGGGGCAGCTGGCGGGGAGGCGGGGTCAGGTCGGCGTCCACAGCTCTGCTGTAAGGATGTCCAGCCTGGGAAGGCAGCCTGCCTGTGCCTGGAGTCACATGAAACAGGAAATGGTTATAGCCCTGGGTTAAGAGGGTGCCCACCTCCTTTTAACAGCAGCCCAGTTTTTTGGGGGGATCCCCATCACTTCTCAGGTCCATGTATTTAGTGGCCGCTGGACCCAAGCCTGGCCAATGAGAGAGCATGCTGTCCCCTGGTCATACTAATTGGCTCAAGGTGGACATGTCACCTGAGCTGACCAATGAGACTCAGTCCAGGGACTTTTGTTGACCTTTAACTTTTCCTCCCTTTGCTAAGCTGGTGGGCTGGGAGCCAGGAGCCCTGCCTGAGAATGAAGCCAACATGGGGGAAGTGGATCAGGAAGAAATGACACCTGAGTTCAGCTCCTAAGCCAAGGCTTTCCTGTTAAGGAAGCTGGGAGTTCCTTTCCCAGGGAAGGGTTTCTGTCAGGGCCTCATCCCTCATCTATCACATGGGGCCTGTCAGCTTTAAATCATGGCCCAAAAATCCTTGGCCACCCGTCCCACAGAGAGGGGGAGGTGGATGGTCCCTCTCCTTGAATTCAGGCTGACATGGGTCCTATGTGACTTCTGAGGCTTGGTCATGAAATGCACTGCTCACTTGAGACACTGGCTCTTGGGACCCAGACCATACTGCCAGAGGCCCAAGCAGCT